CTTCAAACTACTCCCTCAAGTTAGAACATATTTATCCCATTTTTGCCACTTTCTGAAGCAGTTCTGGAAGTCCTCTTCCATGGGTGTCTTTACAAAGAGTGATTAAAACAATACAGTGAGTACTGCTGCTTGTTTAGTACCATCCAATGGAAAGGCGGGTTTATAAAAACATCACTCTTCGTTCACTTTATTCACTGGATCTAGTACCACACAATTTAAAAAATTTCCCTAAAGTCAAAATGACCGTGAATGGCAAATATTTTTAAACCAATTCAGGACATAAAGGCAGCCAGGACAGCACAAATTAAAAACCTTACAAAAAACAACTTCAAGAATTGCTTTAGAAAGTGCGTACAATGATGGAATCTGTGTGTTTAAAAAGGGGAATATTTTGAGGGGGTTCAATGGCAATGTATCTTTCCTGTAATTTCTTTAAACATTTACTGTATTTGTTAATCACATCTTATTTAATTAAAAGCTTTCCAATAGGAGCATTTAAAATATAAAACTAAACAGATGAATTAATTTTAACAATATAACATCTATTGTACGTTCTCTCTCTTCCTGCAGAGTTTCCCAGATCCAGTGTGTGTTTTATACTTCTAGCACGTCTTTATCTGGCTGGACACATATCAGGTGTCCCGTAGCTACCTGTGCCAGTAGCTCCCACGGTGGACAGTATGGCGTTATTCCCGGCTTGGTGCTTTCTCCTACAACAGGATGTTTCAAAAAACATTTCTAGTATCACCTTGTTCTTTAAAAGCAGACGAAGTAAGTAGTGCTCAGCTATAACTATAGCAAAGAATGTATTTTCACATTTTAAATTGAGACATTAGTGAAATGTAAAGAAACTGAAGGGTCAAAATTAGAGATGTTTATGACTCTAGACAGCAAGTTTTACAAGGCACTAGAAAGTATTATCTACTGTCTTGATACTCAAAACGACTTCATAGTAACGGCAGCGAATGGTCTAATGTAAAGATGGAAAGGCAAAGTTCTTAATTTTACTAGTCTTAGCCTATAGCTTTACTATTCACAGCAAGTAAACTTTTATGTTTTTGAAGATACTCTGACCCTGATAAGGCACAACTTTTAGTTTGGACTGAAGTAGAGTACCTAAGAGATTCGAAAGCCTCAAACAGTACTAAATTTTTGAATACTGTATGAAGGAAATGCAAATAGGGATTCATTCCAGCAACTGAAATCAAAACAAGGTAATGGAACCTGTACAAAAAGGAATGCTGAGGCCACAGTAGATCTGCATTTCTGCCCGGCCTTGTGAGATTCACAAGCAGAATAACTTCTCTGAAAAATGGGCAATGGAATAACATGTAGACTGAATCTAGACGCATCACAAAGGCTGCGGAAATGGGAAAGACACTGTAAAGCCCACATAAGGGAGTCAAGCATACCGTAAACACTGGATAACTGAAGGTGACAGCAATGTTGATCTCTTTGTTATTACCTACTACACAACACTAGAGATAACTAGATTTATACAAAGTTCCTAATTCCAAGGCCAAGAGGGCCAGGTGGACATCTATGTTTCAATATGTTGGAATTATGGGCTAGGTTGTGTATGCTCCTCTAAAATTCATATGTTGAAGCTCTGACTCCCAAATCTGCATACTGAGGTGTACTTGGAGATCAGGCCTTGAATGAGTTAAGATAAAATAAAGCCTGTAGGGTGGGTTTGAATCCAATTCAACTCGTGCTCTTACAGGAGAAAATCTGGATACACAGACATGAGAAGCATGGAGGCACAGAAGGAAGACCACGTGAGCACCTGGAGAAGACATCCTTCTGCAGGCCAAGAGCAAGTGCTCAGAAGAAAGAGAACCTGCCCACACTGGGTTTTTGGCTATTTAAGGCTTTAGAGATTTCTTACAGAAGCCCCAACAAGCTAATAGAGTGGATAAAGGCATGTCTGCACCCAACTGAATAGTATAAGGGCTGTACTTCTGTTTACAAGGAAGCAGCACATAAAAAAGCCTGGGAGCATTACAGTGGAGGAGACACAGGCCGAGGTTCACTGGCTCCTTTACTTCTTAAGGATCTTAAGCAATCTATAATAATTTTTGTGAACCATGCTTTCCTTATTTTAAAAGAAAAAGCTATTTAGTTTGCATGTCACAGGGTTAAGTGAAGGTGTGCCTAAGAAACAATGGCTTTTGCTTTGCTCACGTTTGCAATGCCTGCATAAAACTCTGTACTCCTTCAGATAAGAAGCATTGCAGCACCAAATGATCACTTCAAAGAAGGCAGACTGGCTATCATGCAAGACGTTTCTTTCAGGGTGTCTTTCCTGACATTTAAAGAGCTTATAATTTACAATGTACCAGCTTGCTAACTGGTCTCTACCCTTAGGCTCACCATTTAGCCTCTATACTGTCAGCTAATTAATTTATCTAAATTCCAATCCACGAAGGTCATTTGCTTTCATGTAACTTCAGTGGCTCTCTATTTTCAAGTCTCTTGTTCCTGGCGTGGGGAAACCCACAGTTATGACTCCTCCCATCTCATCCCCTCACTGAGGGTCGCACATACTAGCCCTGACTGCTTCTCACATGGGACTTTCTATGTCATGTCCCTTTTCCCGTCTACTCTTGCTTTGTACGCTTTCCCTCCACATTTGCCATCTGGGGCTATGTTCCCTAAATTCCAAGCCAGAACAACGCTCTGTCTATAGAGGAAACACTGAATGTCCTCTGGTCTCTCCTAGTGCACTAGCAGTGAGCTTTTCAGGGATGGAGTCTCTACCTTAATCTTTGTTTTCCAATCATCAAGACCAGCACCTAGCATAAAACATATTCAATTAATATTAACCAGATGATCAAGAGAATGAATGCTTACAGTTAATCACGTTAACATATTATCCCAGCTTACAGTGAAGGAGCCTGACCTTCTCCACTCAGCATCCATACTTGGGATCAGCCATTTACTTCCCCAGGCCTGTTTCATTACGTACATTAACTCTTGCTGTTGTCATTTGGATTAAATGAGCATGTTAAGTAATGGCTTAAATTTCATGCCTGATTTCAAAGAGGTCTAGATAAGTGTGGACTTCTTGTTCTCCATCAGTTCAGCAGGAGGCACAATGTGACATTACTCTCTTTGATACATACTGACACTTACTGAATTAAAATGCTTTAAATATGTTGAATGCTTTAAATTTGGTTGTTTATGCAAATACAGAAAAACAAAAGATGATGGAGGCTATAATGTTGGACCGCATATGCACTTCATTGAAAAGCTATGTCAGTTTTCACAGCTACTAACTACAAACAATGTTTAGTGCACAGGACTGGACTGGTGCCTGTGAAGATAAAATGCAATCAAATATACAAAGCACTAGCACAGAACACAGATTACAGTAGGTCCTCAAGTTGAACATACAGCTCAAAGTAACGACAGACGCCTTCATTGGAAAGTCCAATACACGGAACACTAGCTGGCTATAGGGGTGTAACAGAGAGAAGACTGCAGCGACACTGAAGAAAGGAGCCAGGGCTGAGTGTGGTGTGGCAGTCACACCACCCAAGTCACCGCTCAGCAGCTTTGATCACCAGCACACCCTGGAGTCTCCCTGACAAAGCACCTGCCATCTGGAAATGAAGTCAGGAGGGATGGCTGCACAGGACAGGGTCCACAGCCTTGCAAAATGCACGAACACACCACACATTCAGTAAACACTGTGGCAGGGGAAGACTTGCTCAGCTGGGATATTCAGGTTGAAACCTGTAACCAAAGTATTTGTGGATATTTATGTTTTAAAGTAAAATCTGAGATAGACCCAGTTATTTAAAAAGAGTAAAAAAATCTGTTAGGTCTGACTTAGAATTTCATTTTTCCACTTATTGTGTGACTTTTGGCAGACATTCTTTTTGTTGTTGTTGTTGTTCCCTTCTTCATCTACTCAATGAGTGGGGAAAGTGCCAAATGCACCAGAAAGCTGCTAGAACACTTACAGGAGACTCTCATCTAGCATGGTGATGTGCTGGCCAATGGATGGGTTCCACTAACACCAGGTGTTCCTCAACTCCCAACAATGGACATAAACATGATACACCAAGCTTCCAACCACAAAGACCAGCTGCCAGCCAAAGGTGGAAGGCTGCTTAACTGCTAGAGTTATACAGGACATAATTTGTTCTCAGCACAAATGACAGTTTTAAAAGTCTTGTTACTACAGGAACAGAGTCAACAAATGAGAGATCCTGTGTGCTCAGAACCTGGACTGTACTGTTTAAGTTCAGAAGTTGATGCTTCATTACAATAACCAGAACAGTCCATATTTATTATGGTACATAATCACTGTAAAGCCAATATTTGTTTTATGTCAGCCTTTGTTCACCACTTTTAAACACAAAATCTTAAAGCAAAAGCTTTCTAGGCATTTAGGAAAACATTCTGAACAGAATAAAAACTGATTTCACATATCAATGACCATTAAGGGATATTACCAGAAAAGGCAACGAGAAAGCTCTTTTTTTGCTTCTGACAATATTTATTTCTGAGTAAATACTTTAGAAAATGAATCGGAACTAACTCATTACTCACAGGAGGCATCTAGAGTCGTTAGAAAACAGGAACACCACTTCCAGGAAACCAAAACTTCTACAAACAGGGAACCGCACTACATACTTTACTCCACAGGCACTCACAGGGTCACACCTTGCTCATGTGATTCTTGGCCATAGGAGCAACAGTCACACCCTTTGAGGCAATTGTTCCTCCTCAGGTTATACTAAATAAACACTTATGTCAAGTTTTTAGGATAAATAAGATTTATTTCAGTTTTTATTTCTTAAGACTGTTTTAATACCACAGCGAATCTGAATTGGGTGACACACAGATATTGCTTCTTGAATGAGAAGACACAAAACAAAAAAAGGCAAATCAGATTCCCCTCACCAGCTGAACGCCATGCCTCCCACAGCACACACATGTTGAAAGGCACCCATGTCTGCGTGGGGCTGGCCGTGAGGACTGGCTCTTACCTCTGGGCTGGGGTGCTGTAGCTGTTATCGTAGGAATCGTAACTCTGTTCGTCATAAGCAGTGCCATATCCATCATCATAGTCCTAAAATGCAAAGGAAGTACAAAGACAGTCAGAACTTCCTGGAAAGAAAGGAGCATTCTGCTTTTAGTGTATTTTTATTAAAACAGCTGACATGAAGCTGTATGACCAGAGTGTGAAGAAAAATGCAGAGGTATGATTTCAGGACAAATGGCAGAGTAAGAACTTCCAGACATTCTCTCTATAAAAGCAAAGAGATTTTGAGGAAAAGAATGTCAGGATCACTGTTTTCAGTCCGCTGGAAACCGATCAAAGAAATGCAGACATCTAGGCAGCATTTACTTTTTGAAGACTGGCTAAATCCTGGTAAGAATGTGAGCTTTGTGATATTTTAACTTTTACTCCCATTCTCCACCCCAACTCCGCAGGGGCCTAAAAAAACCAAGGGACATGATTGGCAGCAGTCTGGGGAAACTGGAGTAGAACAGGGCTGGGCTTCTTCCACAGACCCAACTCACAGAACTATCATCTGACCTGACTTAGAGCACTTCTTGTGCCAAATCTATTCTCAAGGGGAATATGAAGAAAATTAATAATTAGGGGCAGTTTTTTAAGTTTTCAACTGACTACATCAGCGGAGAAGACCTGGGCAAATAAATGACAGACTAATCAATAAGCTTAAGTGAAAAAAGAGGAGACTAAAATCGCTGTACAGGTTTTTAAAAACCTGAGATATTCCTGAGACTGTAGAAGGCCACGCCTGTGCATAGTGCCACATTCACACTCAGGAAAGACCTGATGAGGCCCACACTCTTTCTTGCAGCTGAAGTTTGAGCATAAGCAGGAAATTAAAAGTTTAGGCTGAGTTGGCTGTACAGTGATTGGGTAAGAGCTGAACAGGAGTGCCAATAAAATCCAGAGGACCTTGGCAAAGGTGAGGACGTTTCTAGGCATTTAAGGATCTCTGTCCTAAAAGGAACTGAACAGTAAGCTGATACAGAGATGTCAGAGGGAACACCAGATGAAGACAGACTTCACAGAATGAGCTGGGAAAAGTCAATAAACAGCAGAGAGAATGACCAACCCCGAGATCTGACATCCAGAAATGATCAACTATGCAAAATGTCTCATTTTAAACAAAAGCTGGAATTTGATTTCCAGAAGTAGAAATTACATGCAATGTCCAGTTTTAAAAGTAAGACAAGAAAAGAGACACGAAAGTGTGGTATCTATACAAGAAAAAAAGCGAGCATAAAAATTGTCCCTGATGAAGCTGAGACCTTGAATTTAAGTCAAAGAACTTAAGTCAGCTGTCTTAAACACAGCCAAGCAACTGAAGAGAAAAATATGAAAACAATGCTTCACCAAGAATATTAGTATATATATATATAGATAAAAAAAATGAACCAGATTTTTTTTTTTTTTTTGCTGGTAACGCTTAATAACAAAAATGAAAAATTCACCAGAGGGCACATCAGCTGATATGACTGGCAAAAGAAAGAATCTGACAAGTTTAAATTACATGAATTGATAATCTCAGTGAAGAAAAGAAGTGAAAGAGAAATGAATAGAGGATCAGAGAACTGTGTGACACTACTGAATAATGAACATATGCATGAAATACTCAGAAAAAGAACAGGGGAAGAAAAAAGAGTGCGCATTTAGCATGCTCATGAGGCTCTAGGTTCACCATCTAGCGCCATACATACATATCCTTCAGAAATGAAAACCATGAAGACCTTTACAGGTAAACGAAATCTGACATAATTTATCAATAATAGCAGATATGCTTTATAAAAAGTATTGAAAGCAGCTTTAGGGGGAGTGAAAGACCATTTAAACAGTAACCTGAATCCAGAAGAGAAAATGCAGAACACCGGGAAACATAAATATTTAGATAAATGTTAAAGACAACATCAAAGCAGTTTTTGGCTTACATTCCTTTTTCTTTTATCTGATCTAAAATACAACTGCATGAAGACATAATTACAAACCTGTGTTGATGGGCACTGCTATGGCTTATATCTAATGTCCGCCACAGCCTCATGTGCTCAGAGGTGGGGCTAGTGGAAAGCAGGTGGATTACAGGGCCTGTAGCAGGCCTGGTGATAGGAGGCAGGGTGTGGTTTGAAGACAATGGACAACAGAGGTGGGACCTGAAGGGCATCTCCCTCCCTGGCTCCACCCTTCGCTCTCTGCTTCCTGTCCACCAAGAGATGAGCAGCTTTCCTTCTCCCAGGCCCTTGCACAATGCAAGGTCTGAAACTTCTAAAACATAAGCAAAATAAACCACTCTTCTTTTAAATTTCAGGTGTTAAGTACTGTGTCCCACAAACAAAGAAACTGACCAAGACAGGCATACAATATGTAAATACATAAATTATATGACAGTATCAATGCAAGATGAGAGGAGAGAACCGAACTATAAGAGAGAAAGTTTCTGGGCACTGTTGAAAGTGTGCTGGCACTTGGGAGGCAGAGGCAGGAGAATTGCAGTGAGTCTGAGGCCTGCCAGAGACATGCAGGGAGATCCAGGGCCTGCCTGAACTACATAGCAAGATCTTGCCTCAAAAAACAACAAACAAACAAACCAAAAAAAAGTAAGTTGGTTTTGTTCTACAAAAGAGATAAAGAGGTAAATCATGATCCCAAGGCAGGCTAAGAAAATAATTTAAAAAGAAAGATGTAGAAAAATAACAAGGGAATTAAAGTAGAGTGAAAAAAATAACACAAAAAGACAGTAAAGTACAAGAAATGCAAAAGACATACAAGAAACACAGAGCAAAAAGGCAGATGTAAATTCTACCTTATAGATAATTACAGTAAAAGTAAATGGATTATCTGTATCAATTGAAGGCATCATAGAAAAAAATAATCCAACCACATCTTGTCTAGAAAAGACATGATTTGGATTTAGAGACAAAAATACACTGAAAGAAAAAAATACAATACATGAGAAATACAATAAAAAGAGAGCTACAGAAACTCTAATGCTAATATTAGGCAAAACAAGATTTTTTAAGATAAAAACTTATTGGACAAAAGATATTTTTAAAGGATTAAAAAGGTTGGTTCATTTTATCCAAGAAGATAAAAGAGCAAGCAAGCATACATGTATATACAACACAACCTGAAAGCATCCAGATACATAAAACGGCAATTAGAAGAACTGAACAATATAAGCCAACCAGTCCTAACAGACCCCTAAAGAACACTCCACCAGTAAGAGCAGAATACATTCATGTCAAGTGTACATGGAAAGGTCAGACCATATATTTTCCCATTAAAAAATTTACTACCAAGCTACAGTAACCAAAACAAGGGAGTATGGGCAGACACATATGGATGAACAAAATGAAACTGACACTTTAAAATACATCACATATAGAAGCATATGATCAAACATAAAATTCTTAGAAAAAATATAAATCTTTGTGTTCTTGGGTTAGTGATTTCTTACACAGGCCAGATGAAGCATTAATGCCAATAAACAAAAACCAAACAAACAGAAACCCCACTACTCACATAAAATGGATTTTTTGAAAATTATGAACTTTTATGGTCACAAACTATTTGCAAATCATAACTCTGATAAAGACCTAGTATCCAGAACATACGAAGAACTCTTATAATTAAAAAAAGACAGTAATAACCCAGTAAGAATAAAAGCCATCCTCATAGTTCTCCAGGGGCAGATTTTAAATGAAATTCTACACACATGACATTCAAGCCCACGAAAATGTAAATCTTGTCCTATAACTGATCCTAAGTTCTCAGGGTTAATTACATAATGTCTATGGATTTATTGCTATCTAATTAATATTTAAATGAGCCTTGAAACACCATCTTGGAACATCAATATTATCAATGGAAATCATGTAATGATTGCAGAGTATACACGAGGCCCCTTTAAGTAGAGGAAGGTAGATTAGAGATAAGAGAAAGTATTTGGAATCAGCTGGGATTCTGTTATCAATAATTTTAGGTATATTCTATCAGAATTTATTTTTAAAATGTAAATCCTTACAAGTATTTTAAAAGGATAAGATAGCATATACTCTTACATCTGTACATATTCTAGCACAATGCCTGACACACCAAGGGCTTCTTAAATAACTGCTGGCATTATTTATCTCTTATTATCTGTGCAGATGTCTACCCTGGATTTCTAATGCAACTGCACCAGATGAAGAACATCAGAAGCCTCAGTGTACAAAGATACAACCCAAATGGCCAGTTTAAAGAGATCACCTTATTCTCCAATTTAGAAAAAACTGATACATAATAAATTTATGCATTTATGGAGTAAAGTGAAATAATTATATACAGTATATTTAAGGAGCTGTAAACGCTAATTACCTTGATTTGATTATTACACATATACTCTTTGAAACTCTTCTGGTAAATATCAGGCTTCAATTTATTTGCATAAGGAATATATAGTACTACCTTTGTAGAAATAAAACTTACATAATATATACATACTCATCAATATTTTTCTAATTTTGTATCACAATGGAAGAACTGAATAATTGTCAAATAGAAATGTATTTTGTAGTTTGGAAGCAAAATAGAATATAAAATGAATATTCATTAAATGAGGTAAGAGGAAGAAGAAAATGAATAAAGTTACAACATAAAAATGAAGCCACTGGGTTCTTCACATAGCTAATGGCTATGATCTTCCAACGGCCAATAAAAGGAGGAAAAAAGTTATTAGACAAGAAGTAAATACTTTGAGATGATTCTGGTTATCAGAGAAGTGAAGTACAGACATTAATTAGAAACGAAAGGCTGGCCTCTCCGAACAAAAGGAACATTCTTTACTGAAGAGTAGAAAGTCTTTTCATGGGGCCTACGCTGTTTCTGGCACTCATAAACATCACGGGTGGAAAGGAAGGCTCTTTACAGTCTAATGAGCACTTATCATGAGACTGGGTGGGAGAGAGGAAACAGACAGCCACGGAGACAACTAGAATTTAACATGTCCAGGATAAGCACTGAAGTGGGACAGACCTGCCCAACTGGGAAAAGAAACGGAAATTCTACAGAAGTGACAATGT